ACTATTTCTGATGAGAGGAGCTCCTAATGCCACTTTGAAGAAGTCTATGCCACCATCTCAAAGCACTGACATTCTCCCTGTCATTGCTAGAGAGCAGCCAGTTATTTTTACCAAAGCACTAGTCTCAGATCCTACCTGTTCCTTGCCCAAAAAAGTCTCCTAAGTCCTGTATGGCATCTTTCCATAATAATTCTTGTCTAGTTGTAGGATTTTTGCTTATGCTGAGATGGAATCATGTTGCTGTTCTGTGCCACCAAGTCCGTTTTGACTCATAGTGATCCTGTACACAACAGAATAAAACAACTGCCTGGTCCTGAGTCACCCACACAATTGTGGTTACATGTGGGATCACTGCTTCTGACTTCTATCTCACTAGAGGTCTTCTTTTTTTCCAACCTCCATTTTACACTGCATAATATCCTTCACCATGGACTGATCCCACCTGATAGCCTGTTTAAAGTATGAGAGATGAAGTCTCGTTATCCTGGCTTCCAAGGAACACTATGGTTGTACTTCTTCTGACAGATCTGTTTATTTTTATGGCAGTCCAAGGTATTTTTCACATTCTTCTCCAACACCATAGGTCAAATGCATCAATTCTTCTATGGTCTTTCTTATTCATTCCAACTTTCACATGCGTATGAGGCAACTGGGTCAGGCACACCTTAAAGTCATACTTTTGCACTTTGACATTTTAAATAGATCTTCTGCAGCAGATCTGCCTAATGCAATATGGCATTTGATTTCTTGACTGCTGCTTCATATTCCAAGCAAAATGAAGTCTTTGAAAACTTCAATTTTTTTTTTTTTGTTTATCATAAGGCTATTTATTGGTCCAGTTTTGAGGGGTTTTGTTTTGTTTACATTGAAGTACAATCCATAGTGAAGGCTGTGGTCTTTGATCTTCATCAGTATTTTAAGTCCTTTTCGCTTTTGGCAAGCAAAGTTGTATCATCTGCACATCACAGGTTGTTAATGAGTCTCCCTCCAATCCTGATGACACGTTCTTCTTTACACAAACCAGGTTCTCAGATTATGTGCTCAACATACAGATGGAATAAGTAGGCTGAAAGGATACAACCCTGGCACACACCTTTCCTGATTTTAAACATTCAGTATCCCTTTATTTTGTTGAAACAACTGCCTCTTGGTCTATGTACAAGCTCTTCATGAGCACAGTTAAATCTTCTGGGAAGTAAATATTTTCTGCTTGCAGTTAAGATTCACCTGACATCAGCAATAGTACCACTAGTTCTATGCTCTCTTCTGAATCCAGTTCAATTTCTGGCAGCTCCCTCTCAATGGGCTACTGTAATTGTTGTTTTTTTTAATTATCTTCAGCAAAATTTTACTTGCATATGATATTAATATTGCTTGGATCACCTCTCTTTGGAATAAGAACAAATGTGTATCTCTTCCAATCACCTGGTCACGTAGCTGCTGTATTCCAAATTTCTTGGCACAGATAAGTGAATACCTCCAGTGCTGCATCAGTCTATTGAAATATTTTAATTTGTATTCCATGAATTCCTGGAGCTTGTTTTCTACCAATACGTTCAGTGAAGCTTAGATATCTTCCTTATATGCTACCTCTTGAAACGGTTGAACATGGGCTGTTTCTTTTTGGTACAGTGCCTCTGCGTACTCCTTTATCTTCTTTTAATGCTTTCTACATCATTCAATATTTTGCCCATGAAGTCCTTCAATCTTTCAAGTCGAGGCTTAAACTTTTTCTTCAGTTATTTCATCTTGACGAATACTGAATCTTTGATTTTCCCAGGTCTTTGCACATTTCATTTTAATACTTTGTCTTCTGGAGCTGCCCTTAGAAAATTTCTGTTCAGATCTTTTATTTCCTCATATCTCTCATTTGTTTTAGCTTCTCTACTCTCAAGAGCAAGGAGCTCTGGTAGTGTAGTGGTTACGAATCGGGCTGCAAATCATAAGGTCAGCAGTTCAAAACTATCAGCTGTTCCACAGAAGAAAGATGACGCTTTCGAATATTTACAGCTTCGAATCCTGTACAGGGTTGCTATGAGTTGGAACTGACTCCATGGCATGTAACCACCACCACCATCATTCTAAAGAGCAAGTTTCAGAGTCTTTCTGACATCCATTTTGGTCTTATCTTTCTTTCCTGTCTTTTAAATGAGCTTTTGCTTTCTTCCTGTATGATATTCTTGATGTAATCTCACAACTCTTCTGGTCTTTGGTTATTAGTGTATAATACATCAAATATGTTCTTGAGATAGTCTCTAAATTCAGGTGGCATATATACAAGGTCATATTTTGGCTCTCATGGGCTTGTCTTAATTTTCTTCAGCTTCAGCCTGAACTTGCATATGAGCAATTGATGCAAGTTCTGTCCCTGACTTTGTCTGAGCTGATGATATTGATCTTCTCCATTGTCTTTTACCACAAGCATAGTCAATTTGATTCCTGTGTATTCCATCTATTGATGTCCAAGTGTATAATCACCTTTTGTTTTTTTAAATTGCAATGAGTAAGTTGTTGATCTTGCAAAATTCTATTATGCTATCTCTAGCATTTTTCAACTACTGATGCTTCTTCTGTGTTTCCAACGTTTGCATTCCAGTCACCAGTAATTATCAATGCATCTTGATTGTATGTCTGACTAATCTCACACTGAAGAAGATGGCAGAATCCTTCAATTTCATCACCACTAACTTATTGGGTGGTGCTTAAATTTGAGTAATAGCGGTAGTAACTGGTCTTCCTTGTGTTGGTTGGTTGGTTCTGTGCTATGGAATCGGTTCCAACTCATAGCGACCCTGTACAGGATTTCTGAGGCTGTAAATCTTTATAGGAGCAGAAAAGCCTCATCTTTCTTCTGTGGAAGAGCTGGTAGTTTCAAACTGCTGACCTTGAGGTTGACAGCCATACCTGGAACCACTACGCTACCAGAGCTCCTGGTCTTCCTCATAGGTGTATGGATATTATCCTACGAAAGGCAGACTGTATTTCAAGATAGATCTTGAAATGTTCTTTTTGATGATGACCACAGCGCTATTCCTCATCAATTTGATGTTCCTGGAATAGTAAACCATATGACTTGGTTTCGAAATGGCCAAGTAGCAAGGGAATATAGGGGGAACAACAATGCTAGAAAGGTATGCTAACCATGTGATGGTCAATTATTCAAGATCAAAAGGGGAACATTTACCTAAGGGCAAATTTGAGAAGGGATGGGAAAGAGGGTGAAATGGAAATAAGAACCACAGGAAGAAAGTGAGAAAACTGTTGTTACACGGAAGGGATTGCAATCGTTAAGATGAAACAAAGTGTATGACTTGCTGAATATAAAACTGATGACCTTCTCTTTAAACTTGCACTCAATTCACAATCCAAAGTTCAAAAAAGGCCAATACCAGTCTATTTTAGTTCAATAATGCCTAGTATATCGATCTTCACACGTTCCATTTCATTTTTGAGAACTTCCAATTGTCCTTGATTCATACTTTGTACATTCCAGGTTCCAATTATTAATGGAAGTTTGCAGCTGTTTCTCCTCATAGTGAGTTGTACCCCCTCAGCAAATGAAGGTCCTTCAAATCTATCAAGGGTAACCACCCCTCCCCGCCAGCCAGGCCCTTTGCTATCCTCAAAACCTTCTGAGCTTGGCTGCGTTGAATGTAACTGGCTTGTTCTAATTTTCTTCAGTTTCAATTGGAACTTGTATATGAGTAGTAGATGGTCTGTTCTGCAGTCGGCCCATTGTGACTGATGGTACTGAACTTCTCCATCATCTCTTTCTACAGATGTAGTCGGTTTGTTTCTTGTGTATTCTATTTGGTGAGGTCCAGGTGTATAGTTGCCTTTTATGTTGAAAAGGTATCTGCAATTAATAAGTCGTTGATCTTGCAAAATTCTATCATGTGATCTCCAGGAAATATCACCAAGGTCATATTTTCCAACTATGGCTCATTCTTTGTTTCTGACTTTACCTTCCTGTCACCAGTAATTATCAAGGTATACTGATTGTATGTTTGATCAATTTTAACTACAGGATTTGGTAAAAATCTTCAATTTCTTCATCTTTGGGATTAGTGATTGGTGCATAAATATGAGCAATCGCTGTGTTATCTGGTCTTCTTTGTAGGCATACAGATATTATCCTATCACTGACAATGCTGTGCTTCAGGGCAGCTCTTGGGATGTTCTTTTTGATGATGAATATGACGCCATTCCTCTGTCATTCCCAGCATAGTAAGATCATGTTGTTGTTGTTAAATGCCATCAGTCTGTTCCGACCCATAGTGACCCTATGAGTTACTAAACTTACTAAAATTCTATAGAGGGTTTCCAAGGAGCAGTTGGTTGAGTTCAAACAGTCGATCATGTGGTTCAAACCGACCTTGTGGCCCAATGTTTTATCCTACAGCACCACAGCAGGACTCCATATGACGGACCAGTCCATTTCAGTTCACCATTGCCTGGGATACTTATCTTGAAGTGTTACATTTCATTGCTGACAACTTCCAGTTTTCCCAGATTCATACATATTCCAATATTAATGGCTGTTTGCCATTGTTTTTTCTCATTTTGAGTCATGCCACATCTGCACATGGAGGTTCTGAAAGCTTGACTCCATCTACCCCCCAGTCACCTTCTGAGTGCCTTCCAAGATGAGGGGCTGCTCTGCTGCTGTTCACAGGCTTTCACTGGCCAAATGTTTATAAGTAGATTGCGAGGTCTTTCTTAGACTGTCTTAGTTTGGAAGTTTCACCAGTATATATATACCATGAGTAACACTGCTGGGTTTGAAATACCAAAGACACAGCTTCCATCATCACTGTAACACATAAGCCACCACAATCTGACAAACTGACAGACAAGTGACAGATATAGCTATGAGTGGGAAATTATTCATTATATGTGCACATGTAATTCTTGATACCATACCAACAGAAAGAGAAGGGGCTCCTGTAAGGTTCTATGTCATCAAATCAAACTTTTAGGGCTAGGAGGAGCCTTGAAGTAACTTTTCAAATCAAATATGCAAAAGTTAATGAGAGTCAGTCAATTGTGCTTTTCTACCACTCTTAGAAATATCAAAAGAACCAAAAAGCAGTATTTATACGTTCTTTGCAGATTAAGGATGATTTATAGAGCTGAGGAAAGTTACAGTGGCTTTGCTCTTGCTTTTTGAACATGTGGGACTCCCCTCTATCTTTTCAAATGGGGCCCACCCTTCAGAACTTTGCTTAGATCTAATCTTCATGAAGTCCTTTGATCTCTCCCTTTGCTGAAATCTTTTGAAGAGTTGATAATACACAGTTGAGTGCTTTATCCTATCGTGTCTACTGCTGTCAGTTGTCTCCCGTACTAGTTCAAGGAAACCAGAGGAGAGTTGATCTTCTTCCAGGCATGTATCTTATATTGCTATGTCTTCAGAGAAACAGAACTAAGCATGCAACTGATAAAAATTAATTTAAATTAAAATGAGCAAAATTAATGATTTCAGGCAATCATAGTTGAAAATGACAAAATTCTAAACAACAGAATCTTGAAAATTAACAAGAGGCTGGCTCAAACTAACCTTAGAATCTGTTCCAATTTCTCAGTTGGTGCATTTCTGAGACCTGTTAGCATGGTGTGCAGACGACTCAAGCTATGTGTCACTGTGGGAACTGGGGTCTCACAAGGGCTGTTCTCCTTAATGTACCTTACCCCGGTGAGTGGTGTGGAGATCCTAAATGTTTTAGACTAAAAAGAGAAAAAGGACATGGGGTGGGGAAGGCGGGTATTATTTTAGGTTAGAAATATTTTCAATTACCTCACAGATGGAAGATAGTCAGATTTGATCTTTACAATGTCTATACATTTTAGTGATTTAAACATCACTATTCTTGGAATTGAAGATGCTTGAAAGAACAATTTACACTTTAGACAACTAAACGATTATCTGCTAAAAGTGAAATCTTTAATATAAAGCTATCTCCCCATTATCCCTTACCAAAAATTAAAGCGCCAAGGCAAGGGAAAGAAAGCATTACATCGTTTAAAAACATTAAGACTATCACTCTCTTCTCTGAGAAGCAGAATCTCACAGCCCCCATCTGCCGATTTTTTGCAAATATTTACAAAACAAAGAAATTAATTCAATCAGGCCCAAATAAAAGACATGATTTAACAAAAGTTAACTAAACTCATAAAATCTGCTTCAGACAGAGGATAAAATAAACACATACCTAATGCACAGTAGCCATCACTTGTCCCATTGGCCATAACTTACCTTTAGTTACTAAAAGCTATGACATTTTTTTTTCCTCAAGTAGACAGCTCTTCAGAGACATAAGTTAAAGTTTACATTTTTAATATTTTCATGGAAAACATGTCTTGGCGTCAAAAGAATGTAACTATGGAACCGCAAGGTTAGAGGTTCAAACTCACCAGCCACTCCTCGGAAACACTATACAGGATCACTATTGCTCAGAACTGACTCGATGGCACTTAACAACAACAACATATATGCTAGAAGAATAGTTTTTCTAATTTTTCCAAAGAAGCCCTGAAAAGTTAATAAAGATACAAACAGTTGTCATCAGGTGGATTCCAACTCACATTGAGCTAGTGTGTGTCAGAGTAGAATAGTGTTCTAGAGAGCTTTTTTTATTTGTTGGAAGTAGATCACCAATTTTTACTTCCCAGGCTACTGTAGGTGAATTTATCAGCTGAACATGTTAATTGAACCACCTAAGAATTGATGCCTTTTCATTTTTCAATAAACTACATTTAAAAAATAAACATTAGTACATGACATGTACTAATTCTAGGGATAATTTTAAAAACCAGAAAATTTTTACCTGGTAACAGAATAAATTATTCAAGTTTCATGAGATAGTTATAAAAGCACAGAAATTCAATATATAGAAATAAATCTACATTTTTTTCTGTGACTTTTAAGCAGAAATAGAGTCAAGACCTCCATTTTGTTTTTTAAAAAATCATGGTATAATTTGGGTCAAGAAGATGATGATCTAAGATATTATCTGACAATAGTTCCCTGTCTTAGACAGCTTTTCTTGCAGCCAACTTCTTTAGCAAATGAACTGGTGTCCATATTGGGAGGGAGAAACAGTTTTTGCATCAATAGAAGCAGCAGCAGCAGCATATAACCTCATAACCACAGGTAGCAGTGGTTTCATAGAGGAAACTAGGGTAACAACCACAAACAGCTTTTTGTCCAGACTCTCAAGGTAGGCATGGAGCTTCTTGGTAACACTGTTATTAATTTAAACTCGTCCCGTGCATTCAGGTCAAGAGGAACCTGTCGTCATTACCTCTGGTATAAAAAACAGTTGACATTAAATAGATACTAGAACATTCCTTCTCCAAGTGAACGTTTAAATTTGTGAGTATCTCTGGGCTCTGTACACAGACCTCTTTTCTTCTCTATCAACTCACACCACTACATCATCTCTCTTCAATCCAAAGTTTTTATCCAGATCTTAATGACTTTTTTTTTTTTTTTTTTTTTTTTTTTTTTTTTTTTAGTTTTTATTGTGAATTGAGTGATAGTTTACATAGGGGAACATCAGTTTTATATTCATCATTTCATTGCAATGATAACAATCTCCTCTGTGCAACATCATTCAACAGTATTTGCTTCTATTCCCTCTGTTTCTCTTTTTTCTTGGTGGGGGGATGTACCCCCAGATTATTAAAACAACCAAAGGACACATTCGGCAAGCCCCCCTTCGGGCCACCAGCACACAGCCTTTCTCTTTCCGTGAGTCTAGAGTCCTCAGCTGCTCTCTCTCCATACCTTCATCTCTGTCTCCATCTCTGGTGTTACTGCTTCTCTGGATAGGGTCCCACATTCTGCTTGTGGTCTTCCCCCTTGATGGTCCTAGGGTCCTCTGTTCCTGGACTGTAAGATTAACTACTCCCTCCTTTTTGTTACAAAACTTCAACCTTTATAGTTGTGACAGTAGCAATTATTCTTGGTAACAATTACTCACTATTGAATCATAAGAATCTTATCCCCATCTCCTTTCACCACACCCAACTAGACAAGATGAAAATTATTCAGTGAGGATTCTACCTTCCCCCACACACTCTGAAACTAAACTCCCTCTTAAAATCTTGTAAGCCAGTCACTTCATGCCTTTATAGCCCCTCCCATTTTAGGTAGCCAATGTCTAAGTTTCTTGTCTCTATCAACCCTGTGTACAGAGGGGATAGGATTCATCTTGAATGTGAAGACTCCTTAGCTCTCAGTTGGTGTTTTGAGCTACTACATCCAAAAGTGTATGTCAAGTTCATCAAATTGTAGCAATTTACACTTGTTTCCTTTTCGGGTATTCTTGTGTATCAACTCTCACTTCACATCAGCTGGACACTTACTTCGTTCTCAGCTCTAACCCTCCGTGGCTATCTCCCTGTCCATGGGCTCAGGAGTTCACAGGTCTCATCACACTTTGGACCACCACCAGATATTCCTCTTCTCTCTCTCATCTCCATGTTGACAGGTATATCTTGATGACTCTTGATTATATATACCCATCCCTAACCTCTGCTGTGAATTCCTGCCTAGCATATCTAAACTGGAGTCCTGGTATGGCACAGTTACATAAGCAATGGAACACAAGGTCGGTTTGAACCTCAAGATCCATGGTTCAAACTCACCAGCTGCTCCTGGGAATCTCTATACAGGGTCACGTGACTTGGAGCTGACTTGAGGACACTTAACAACAACACAGCTAAATTATATACTCAACTTCTCTACTTGGATTCCTAAAACACCTAAAACTTAACATGTACAATCCCTATAACACCCCTCTCAAGAAACAGCAATAGCAAATACTCAAGAGAATACTAGTTCTGCCAAGCACCAGTTACAGACCTCATGAAGCTCATATTCTCATCTATGATGGATCAACTATCAACACTCATGGAAGCAGCAGTCAAAAAATCAAAGGACGTATTGCATTAGGCAAATCTGCTGCACAAGTCCTTTTTAAAGTGCTGAAGAGCAAAGATGTCAGCTTGAGGACTACGGTGCACCTGACCCAAGCCATGGTATTTTCAATAGCCTCATATGCATGTGAAAGATGGACAGTGAATAAGGAAGACAACAGAAGATTCGATGCTTTTGAGTTATGGTGTTGGAGGAGAATATTGAAAGTGCCATGGATTGCCAAAAGAACCAACAGATTTGTGTTGGAAGAAATGTAGCCAAAGTGCTCCTTGGAGGCCAGGATAGCCAAACTTCGTCTCTCATACTTCGGACATATTGTCAGGAGGGACCAGTCGCTGGAGATGGATATCATGTTTGGTAAGGTGGAGGAGGGTCAGAGAAAAAGAGGAAGACCCCCAGCGAGATGGATTGGCAAAGTGGCAGCATCAATTGAGCTTGGATTGGCTCAAGCGTGACTACAATTGTGAAGTTGGCTCAGGACTGGACAGTGCTTCGTTCTGTCGTGCATAGGGTCACTATGAGTCGGTACTGACTCAATGGCACCTAACAACAACAACAAGGAAACTAACAATAAATACCTCTCTCAACTTATCTACCTACCTACTACTTACTGTGGTTATTTCTAGCTGTCAACACCTACAGAACAAAAGCAGGGTAAGAGGAAAGGAAGTCCTGCGAATTGGTGAAGATACCAGTAGTTATTATTTTATACAGTAGTCAGGTTACTGAAGTCCTAGTGTGACACTGTAAGAAAAGCACTTACAGCGGTTCAAACCCACCAGCTGCTCCTTGGGAAACCTATATAGACCTGGCTGATAGGTCAGATGAACATTTTGAAGAAACACACCCTGGGCAGAAAAATCTCAAGGTTTTGAATCAGGGTTATGCTTGGCATATCTGAAGTGAAAAAAGGTCTGTGTGGCACCAGTGGAAACAGTACAAAAGACAACGGTCAGAGATGAATTCAGAGAGATGGCAGAGTAAGATCACTTATAACTTTACAAGCATTTGTAAGGACTTTAGCTTTTATACCACTCACCCAACTGGAGCTATCATTGTTTTCTCTCTTTCTCACACCTTAGATCAAAATCATGAGTAAACCTTGCAGACACTGTCTCCAAAATACATCCCCAATACAATTATTTCTCTGGCCCAAGTCATTTGAACTTAATAACCAGAATCATTGCAAAAGCTTAATTTTCCCCTGTCTTTTACAATACCATTAAAAACTGAGGTCAGAGCATGTCATTCACTCTTCCCATTAAGAGCTTGTTAATGGCTTCCTATCTCAGTCATATAAATGAAGACAAGCTTGAAGTTGTCAAAGACTTCATTTTGCTCGCATCGGCCATCAACACTCATGGAAGCAGTCATCAAGAAATCAAACAACATATTGCATTAGGCAAATCTGCTGTACAAGACGTCTTTAAAGTGTGCAAAAGCAAAGATGTCAGTTTGAGGAGCAAGGTGTGCCGGACCCAAGCCATGGTATTTTCAATAGCCTTGTTTGCATGTGAAAGTAAGACAGTAAATAAGGAATACCATAGAAGAATTGATTCATTTGAGTTATGGTGTTGGAGGAGAACACTGACAGTACTGTGGCTCACAAAACAACAAACAAATCTGTGTTGGAAGAAGTACAGCCAGAGTATTCCTAGGAAGTCAGGATGCCCAGACTTCATCTTTCATATGTCAGACACATTGTCAGGAGGGACCAGTCCCTGGAGAAGGATATGATGTTTGGTAAAATGGAGATCTGGAAAAAGAGGAAGACCCACAATGATATGGATTGGCACAGTGGCAGCAGCAATGGGCTCAAAAGCAGCAATGATAGTGAGGTTGGCGCAGGACTGGGTAGTGTTTCGTTTTGTTGGCACTGACCTGATGGCACCTAACAACATCAATTTTACTCGTAGCAAAAGCAAAGTCCTTTCAGGAGCCACTGAGCCTGGATGAACCTTGCAAGTTATTATGCAAGTTATTAATGTCTTTATGTTAATGGAAGAGGACTGAAAAGGAGGGTGAGAATCCTGTACACAAGTTAAAGAAGGTGATCAAGGACTAAATTGTACATGGAAACATTGTTTCACTGGCGTATGTTCTGCTGCGTATATTTTCAACAACAAAAAATAAAATTAAAACCAAAAGTCCCTACAATAGCTTCCCAAACCCATGATTCACCTGTCCTTCTTGCCACCCCCCACATTCCTACCATTCTTCCACTCACATACACCACCCCTAACCACCACACTGACTTTCTCACTGTTTTTTCAACAAGTCACTCAAGTTCCTAAATCATGGCTTTGCATTTGATATCCTTTCTTGGTGTCAAATGGATTTCCCTAGATATTCACATGCTTGTCCTTATTTATTTGTTGTTGCTGCTGTTAAGTACCATGGTGTTGTTTCCAACTCATAGTGACCCTATATAGGGTTTTCAAAGGTTTGAACTGCCAGCCTTGTGGTTTGCAGTCCAGTAATTATTCAACAGCCTTATTCCTTTAGTCTCTGCTAACATTACCTCCTCAGAGACACATTGCCCAACCATTTTATTCCTGTCCTTCTCTACTGTCTACTACTACTCTATTTCACTTTTCTTCATAGCACTGTCATCATCTGATACAATGACTTACTCATTTGGTTATGTACTGTCTATGTCCCCTATACGTTGCTGCTGTTGTTGTTATGCACCGTGGAGTCAGTTCCAACCCATAGTGACCCTGTACAGGGTTTCTGAGGCTGTAAATCTTTACGGGAGCAGAAAGCCTCATCTTTCTCCCGCAGAACACCTGGTAGTATCGAACTGTTGACCTTGCGGTTCGCAGGCCGATTCGCTACCACTACAGGTTCCAACTTATAGCAACCCAGTCCTGTGCAATCCTCACAACTGTTGTTATGTTTGTTACCACCAAGTCAATCCATCTCATTGGAGGGGTTTCCTCTTTTTCAATGATCCTCTACTTTTCCAAGTATAATGTACTTCTCCAGGGACTGGTCCCTCCTGACATGTCCAAAGTATGAGAAACAAAGTCTCACCATTCTCAATTCTAAGGAACATTCTATTTCTTCTAACACAGGCCTTACTGGTCGCTGCACCTCTTCCAATACAGATTTGTTTATCTGGCAGTCCAATATTTCTTCACCAACACCAAACTCAAATATACCCATTCTTCTATGGCCTACCTTATTCATTGTCCAACTTTCACATGTATATGAGGCTACTGAAAATACCATGGTTTGGGTCAGGCACATCTTAGTGCTCAAGCTGACATCTTTCCTCTTGAACACTTTAAAGAGGTCTTGTGCAGCAGATTTCCCTAACACAATACATAGTTTAATTTCATGACTGCTGCTTCCATGAGTGTTGATTGTAGATCGAGCAAAATGAAGTCTCTGACAACTTCAATCTTTTCTCCATTTATCATGATGTTATTGATACACTTGTAAAGAATTTAGCTTTTGATCTTCATCATTAAGTATTTCAAGTCCTCTTTGCATTCAGCAAGCAAGGTTCTGTCATCTGCATAGGGCAGGTTGTTTGAGTTTTCCTCCAATCTTGATGCCATATTCTTCTTCATATAATCCAGCTTCAGGTGATAAAACCCTGGCATATACTTATCCTAATTTTAATACATTCATTATCAACTTGTTCTGTTCAAACAACTACTTCTTAGTCTTCGAACAAGTTGCATGAGCACAACTAAATGTTCTGAAATGCCCATTCTTCATAATGTTATCCATAGTTTGTTATGATCTACACAGTCGAATACATTTCCATAGTCAAAAAAGCACACATAAACATCTTTTTGGCATGCTCTGCTTTCAGCAATGACATCACTAGTTCCACATCCTCTTCAGAACCCAGCTTGAATTGCTGGCAACTCCATTTCAACATATTGCTGCAATCCTTTTTTAATTATCTCCAGCAAAATTTTACTTGCATGATATTATTTGATGATTTCTACTTTATGATGAGTTACCTTTCTTTGGAACTGATACAAATATGGATCTTTTCCAATCAGGTGGCCAGGTAGCTGTCTTCCAAATTTCTTGGCATAGATGAGCGAGTGCCTTCAGCATTACATCAGTTTGTTGAAATATTTTGATCTGTATCCTGTCAATTCCTGGAGCCTTGTTTTTCACTAATGCTATCAGTGCAGCATGGACCTCTATATTTCTCAATCTTATTGGTTTTTGATCATATGTTGTTGTTGTTAAGTGCCATCTATGCACAACAGAACCTGGTCTGAATCTTTGAGAAATGTGTCAGAAGTTGCATATATTCTATGCACACCACACAACAGGAGGGCAACTATTATAGTCTCCATGATCCTAAGTGTTTGCTTGAAATAATACCATCCAGTCCTGAAACTATATGTAACAATTCAGTTTCCTGGATAAAGGTAACAATTTAGGTTAATCACTGAATTTTCTAAATTCCTTGTAAGGTTACATGCTGTCAAATTGGTTTTGACTCATAGTGACCTTAAGCACAACAAAGTGAAGCACTGCCCAGACCTGTGCCAACCTCACAATCATTGTTACACTTGAGCCCACTGCTGCTGCCATTATGCCAATCCATCATGTTGAAAGACTCCCTCTTTTTCAACGACCTTCCACTTTACCAACCAGGACATCCTCCCCTCCAGGGATTGGTCCCTCCTGATAATATGTCCGAAGTATTAAAGACCAAGTGTGGCCATCTTAGCTTATAAGGCGCATTCTGGCTGTACTTCCTCCAACATACATTTGTTTGTTCCTCAGGCAGTCCTTGATACTTTTAATATTCTTCTCCAACACTTTAACTCAAATGTATCAATTTTCCTACAGTCTGCTTACTTCACTGTTCAACTTTCACATGCATATGAGGCTACTGAAAATACCAAGGATTGGGTCAGGTGAGCTTTAACTGCATATTAAATTTTTGTTCTTGAACACATTAAATAGGTCTTATGCAGATTTGCTTAATGCAATACATCATCTGATTTCTTGACTGCTGCTTGTATGAGTGTTGATGGGTGATCCAAGCAAAATGAAGTCTTTGACAACTTCAATCTTTTCTCCATTAATCATGTTATTCATTGGTCCAGTGGTAAGGATTTTTGTTTTCTTTACATTGAGGTGCAACCTACACTGAAAACTGTGGTTTTTGATCAGTAAATATTTTAAGTCCTCTTTGTTTCAGCAAGCAAGGTTGTATCATCTGCATACAGCAGGTTGTTAATGAGTTTTCCTCCAATCCTGATGCCACATTCTTCTTCATATAATCCAGTTTCTTGAATTATTTGCTCAGCATACAGATTGAGTATGGTAAAAGAATACAAATCCAGTCAAAGCTTTACTGATTTTAGTGTTCCCTTGTACTATGCTAATGAAGGCCTCTTGGTCTATGTACAGGTTCCTCATGAGCACAACGAAATGTTCCGGAATGCTCATTTTCTATAGGGTTGTCTATGACTTGCCATGATCCACACAGTTGAAAGCTTTTGCAAATAAAGCACAGGTAAACATCTTTCTAGCATTCTCTGCTTTCAGCCAAGATCCATATGCCAACAGCAATGATATTTCTTATTCCATGATCTCATTTGAATTTGGCTTGAACCTCTGGCAATTGCCTGTGAATACAATGTTGCAGCCATTTTTTAAAATTATCTTTAGCAGAATTTTACTTGTGGCCAGGTAACTGTCTTCCAAATTTCTTGGAATAGATGAGAAATGCCTCCAGTGTTGTATCAGTTTGTTAAAGATTTCAATTTGTAGTCCACCAATTCTCAGAATCTTGTTCTTTGCCAATGCCTTCAGTGCACCTTGGACTTCTTCCTTCAGTACCATTGGCCCTTGATCATATGCTCCCTCTCGAAAATTCCTATTATGTTCTTTACATTAATGGCCCATCTTTTCAAAATCAATGCATGATACATTCATTCATAGAAATTAAACTTATTTTTCTCAGACCTAACCTAAGACTTTAAAAACTGATAATAACAAAAATTCAATGAAAAAATAAAGACAACTTTTCCATTAAATACAATGTGAAGGATTTTTTTTTTCCTTCATATAAGCAGCAAGTAAAACACACAAAACAAAAATTACAAAAATAAAATTGAACCTCTAGCTTGTCTCTTCCTTTATTTCCATTCTGGAATGGCTTAACTCACCTTGTCAAAGTGTTGCTGCAAACTGTTTTTCACCTGCACCCTTTCAGCAGTCTCTGTTCCTGAGCCAGTATTCAGACACCTTGAGAGAGTCCCAATTTCCTCCTCAGCATCCTCTCCAAGAAATATCCGTTCATCTAAATTTCCAACAGATAACACATACTCTTCATAGGCCTTACTGATGGCTTTACTATAGGGAAAACATACAGACAAGAAGCACACTCATAAAACTGTCATTTTAGTTCATGTCTTAAACTGTTTAATTATTTCATTCTTTTACTATAATTTCTATGTCATTTATGAGAAAGTTAAATTATAGTGAGATCTCTGTTCTTTAAGAGTATAAAATAGAAGCTTACAACACCATGTTCTACCATAAGGTAGTATACTGTGCTGACAGCGTTTCAGGATAGGCGTCCTGTACCAAGCTGTATAATTTCAAAAGAATTTATTTTAAAAAACAAACAAACCACAAACCTATCATCCAGATGCTTTAAAAGAAAATTTAAAGTACTCTGGTAGCATAGTGGTTATGAGTCGGGCTACTAATCTCACGGTCAGCAGTTCAAAACTACCAGCAATTCCACAGGAGAAAGATGAGGCTTTCTGCTCCCATAAGAATTTACATTCTCAGAAACCCTACACAGAGTCACTATGAGTCGGAACCAATTCCATGGCACATAACCACCACCACCACCACTGTAAACACTAGACTTCTGGTGTGGTGCTCTGGATCACAGCTGGACTGTGAACCATAAGGCAGCAGATCAAACCTCCCAGTTGCTCCTCAGAAACCCTATACAGGGCTGCTATAAGTTGGAACTGACTTGACAGCATCTAACAAGGACAGTAAACACTGTAACATATACAATTTTGCAACACCAGTAATAAGAGTATTGTGAGTGAATACATAACTAGATATGTATGCTAAATAAACATGGGAGATTTTATGGGATTGCACACACATGCATATATGGGTAGGGGTATGGATTTTTCTACATATATATTTGTATGTGCAGCATGTTTACTGATATATAGAATAGAGCACATATGGGGCATAGCTATGGAAACTTCTTAGACATAATGAAGCACCTCATGGAACTGAGCTACTGGACTTGAAGGCTAAAGACCATGGTCTCTGGGGACATCTAGAACAACCAGTGTAACAATATATAGACAATGTTCTATATTCTAGCTTGGAAAGTAGACTCTGAGTTTTTAAAAGCTTGAAAATGATCATCTAAGGTACAACTCTTGGTCTCTTCTAGCCCAGAGCATAGGAGAATAAAGAAAACCAAGGACTCATGGACACAATGAATCCAAAGTGCTAATGGTCCAAATGAACCACAGCCTCCTCTAGCCTCAGAGCAGAAGTACTAGATGATGCATACAGTAAAGTGAATTATGTAATATGGCTCTTCTATTCATAGTATTTGTAACTGCCTCCAAACAGTTAATCCATGAGTGAGATCATGCAGATTGGGTGTATTTCTTTTTTTCTAGATGGATTTCCAGAAGAGAAGATGGGAGAAGATGCTGATAGGATTCAGTTGTGAGTGATTGTTAACAGAATTAACTGGGATTGTAAAAACCCAGAATTCCAGTGTGGAGTTGATCAATTCTGCCATTCTGCTGGGTACAAAATGAACCATTTAAGCAATGGAAGAGGGTGGATCTCACTACCATCAAAAAAAGAGAGCCAGGAGTGGAGTATGTCCTTTGAACCCCAAAATCCAGGGACAGAAAGCTGTGATGCCAGAGAAGTGGCAGAGGAATAGCAGCAAAAGACCCAGGACTGAGAGCATGCAACAGAATGGTGGGCTTCTCAATGCACAGAGCAAGTAAAGCTGAGTGCCTTAGGACAGGAGACACACTTGTAGAGTGGGGTACCTCCAGGCACTTAATTGGGGGGAGCTAGGTTTGCTGATCCACAGAGCTAGAGCTGAGTTCCTTCAGGCTGAGGCCCATGGCATACCCTTAAGCATTTTTGGCAGCTTTAAAAGAGCTTTGTAACACTTCCCAAGCAGAGGAAAGGCCAGGCGAAGGGACCTTGGACATGACTGTGACAGAGACTATCCTGACCAAAGAACTGAATCCTGAACATTTCTAATCCTGAATTTCAACCTGCTGATTTCCATAGTGAATGAGTGTTGTCTGTGAGGTCTGTGTGGCCACTGAAATGAATTATAGACTCCAGCTGAGAAGCAGACACTGCTGCAGGATGAAGGCGGGTGTCAGAGTTGATAAGATTGAAGGGTGGAGTCATGTCTGACCCTGCCTCATAGGAATCAACCTTGGCTGATGTGAAGTTTGATTCTCCTCTTTCCTTTGTGAAGTTAGAGGAGGTCAGATGTCACCTCCATGCCACATTCTTACAGTGCCCAGCTACCACTACTGACCACTCTGACAAGGACCACAGTAGAAAACCCCCCAGTTAGAATAGGTGAAAAACATCAAACAAAACGCCAATTCATAAACTGTAAACCCAAACTTACTGGTCTGACAGAGGCTGGAGGAACCCGGGACTACTGCCCTAACTTACCCTTCTAATGTGAAACTGTAGCCACTCCTAGAAGCCACCTTCCAACCAAATAATATACTGGCCTATGACTTCTGGTGTGGCACTGTGGATTAGCACTGGGCTGTAAACCACAAAGTCGGCAGTTCAAACCCACCAGCTGCTCCTCAGAAACTCTATGCAGGGTCGGTATGAGTTGGAACCAACTCGACGGCACTTAACAACAACAAAATAAATTTTAAAAAACAACACCCATCAGCAATGTGCTCATAAGAAAATCAACTACATGAGAATAAAAGGACAACATTTGCCCCAAAGCAAAGATAAAGATGGAAGGAGGGACAGGGAAAGCAGATGACTGCAAACAGGGAATCCAGAGAGGAAATGGGGGGTGGGGGGGTTGGAATGACACACTGCAGAGATTGCAACCAATAATGTCACAGAACAATTTGTGTATGAATTATTGAATGGAAAGTAATTTCACCTAAAACACAACAAAATGTTCAAAAAACAGTCACATGAGTTTCAATATATTAAAAAATATGTTTGTAGCACAGGTAGATAGAATTTTTATTGCTCCCCTATACTTTTCCACAAATCATATTCTAAATTTCCAGAGTACAAACAGTAAAAACAGTAAGTTCTCTTGGTTTGTTAAGAACATAATTTAAAATAATTAAAACCACTTCATAACAAAACTACTCACAAACTTTCTCCAAAGTTTCCAGGCTCTAAAAACCCAGTAAGATTTTCTTCTTTTCCCTTAAGGAGCTATAATAAAAGAAAAGATACTTAAGCCATCATGGGAAATTAAATTTTCCTCACAGAAAGTATTTTTACATTATTTCTTTGCTGCTTACAAACCTTTTTTTCATAAAGTTTCCTAATGTAGGGTTTCCAGAAATGCTCTTTTATTCCCTTTGCTTCCAATACTAGGCCATCATGTAAGGAACACAGTTTCTCAATGACACAAGGTGGGTCTGAAGAAAGTTTAGAATCCTTACCATGAAAATCTTCACAGAAGCCTATGATGTACATAGAATTTTAAAAAATAGGAATTAGTATTCATTAAACCAAACTATTAGTAATACAAAACATAAATAATAGTCTAACCAGTACATAGCATATATAGCATATCAAATATAGGATTTTTATTTATAGCCAACCAATTTCTTGACTATTTAAACATACTTTAAAAAACAGCAAATAAAGGTAAAGTGTCCCATTACTCAAATATTTCAGTTATTCAATTATATATCTAGGAAAACTTAAGAGAGAAAATGCTTACATTTTTGCATATAAGCCTGACATACGAATTGCAAAAAAAAAAAATTATTATTTAAATATTTCACACACTCATTTAATTATACTAGATGTACTGATCATAATAATCTGTAGTTTCTTCTTGCACTAAACTCAAGATAGAAAACAAATGAAAGAAAGAAAAAGAGAAGAAAAGCAGCTATCCTGAACATAAAAGAGGAGGATATAGAAGGGAATGAAAGAAAGGACAGAAAATCATATATGGAGGATTCAATTCACTAAACCAGCAGCAAGTGAAGTAACTGACTCTACTCATTTTTAAATCTACTATGACAGTCAGACGGGCTCAATTCTAATTAGAATTCCCCTAAAACTCGCAACCACCTAGAAATATGCCATGGTTATTATTCAAATAGCAGCAGCATTAAATAAGTAGCCTTATTAAATAAATAAAGATTTCTTAATACTTGTTCTGTAAATCACACTCTGGGCACTTACTGAATATCACTCATAGGTATTACACATTTTACAACCTTCTAAATGCATTGCCAAAATAAGTATCATTTCTATCCATCTGTTAGTTTAGGATATGAAAACTCATTTTGCTTATTTTGAAAACATAACTATTCCTCTTCTGTAGCAGAAGTTTGAGATGAAAATTCCTTCAATATGTCATTTTTGATCTCTCACTGTGTCCAGCTGCAGGCTTGATAATGTAGAAAAACGCTTTCACTTTTAACATCAATATCTTTGTTTTTCTATTTTTCTTAATGCCTTCTCCTTATTGAATACATATTTCAGAAACTTCTAAAAACTGTCATCAAAGACTTTAAATTTTATACTTGCAATTGCTTTTATAAAAAAGATTTTTATAGAGCACTTAACTCCTAGCTATGCCATATTTTCACACAAATAACAAACCCATTATAGCTTTTTTGCCAGCTCCCTTCCCCCCGCTTCATCTCCACTTCTGTCAGCGTGCTATATGTACATGGTGGTGGTGGTAGTGTGCCGTGGAGTAGGTTCTGATTCATAGCGAACCTATCTATACAGGATTCCAAGGCTGTAAATCTATACAGGTGCAGAAGCCTCATCTTTCTCCCATAGAGAAAGTTTGGAACTGCTGACCTTGAGGTTAACCAACTCATAACCGCTACACCGCCAGAGCTCCTTTATGTGGGCATATTATTTCTGGGGAAAATACTATAAGTAGTCCTGGCGTGATACTGAGGGCTAATGTGTCAGACTGCAAAGTCATTTGAACCGCAAGGTCGGTGGTTCAAGCTCACCAGCTGCTCCTTGGAAACCCCATACAGGGTCACTATGGTTCCGAATCGACTCGATGGCACGTAACACTACCACCACCATGGGTAATTATGATGATGGCAGTGTTTCAAAACACTATTTCTCTGATGCTATGAAACCTGTACTATGTATACAACTCTCAAGAAAAAACAAATGTAGAGATGTATGTTGTCCAATCATCTTTGATTTACTAACTTACCTTTAAAATTAGGGTTCACAAGTTCTTTACGACTGGAACACAGAAGAGCATTTCCATAAACTAAGTCCAAAGCACACAGGAGAAGATGGTAAGAATTGACCAAGTCATCACTAATCATGGGGAAATTGCCTGCAGAATCAGAAACACTTTTATAGTTAAATTTGCATCAACTTTATAATACTTCAAAATAATTCCCTCTTTTAATTAGGACATTATACAACGTTATACAAAGTTAACTCAAAAAATAAAAGACATATATTTCACTGACTGCAGACAATGGTTAGGTTAAATAAGAAGGAGAGAAAATAAATCAAATCTAACTGTACTTGTTTAAATATATTTATCTGAACGAGATGCAATGCATAAAGTAACTTGTACTACTCTGAGGATGATCAGTCTTGGACTTTATGAAAGCCAGTCTCACTTAACCCAGGAAGACATGCCTTACAAAATAATAACAATAATAAATAAATAAATAAAATAAAAATTAAGCAAGCATATGACAGTAAGTCAAAAATACTGTTATATAACCAAATAAACCTTTATTATGCTCCATTTAAGGTCTGGCGCTGTCAGTTAATGCAATGGACTGCAAAGTCAGTTTGAATCACAAGGTCAGCGGTTCAGGCTCACCAGCTGTTCCTTGGAAACCCTATACAGGGTTGCTATGGGTCGGAATCGACTCAATGACACTTAACAACAACAAGTCTATATACTTCTTAAGGTGGTGTTTCCATCACTCTAATCCTTCCTCAGAGGTCCTGGTGTGGCACTGTATGATAATGCACTAGACCCCAGGGTTGGTTTGAACCACAAGGTTGGCAACCCTAGCCAAGGTCGCTATGAGTTGGAATCGACTCCAAGGCACTTAACAACACCACTTCCTGAGGGACTTCTGCACGCTTTACAATTGATATCATGGCAAAACAGCAGTGTTGGCATCCTCAAGGGACTCAAATCATGTTCCTCTAGGGTAGATGAGGGTAAAGTGTCCCAATAAAATTCTTATAGGACAAGTTTTGCTCAAAGAATGAGAAGGTGTATTACTCTGATGGGAAAAAATTCTTGGCGTAACTGTATTTCTCACCAATGCAGATTTTTTTCCAATTTTCTTAAACTTCATAATAAGCTCCCATGATTATCCTGTGTCCTTCAGGAAAATCTGTCAAGATTAGCCCTTTAGAATTCCAAAAAACAGTCACCATAACCTTCTAAGCTGACCTCTCTTTCTTGAACAGAGCCTCTCGGAAGCCAGTTTAGTAACTTTTTTCTGAAGGCACCCTAACGAGACTAAGACGAATGAATTATTGAGAGAACCTGTTGGCAGTCATCCACTAATCACAGAAATATATTTAAATATGTTTTCTTGGGAATAAATGTGTGCATTTATTTATGTACTAGAGCCATAGCGGTGGTAGTGGTTGTGTGCCGTTGAGTTGGTTCCGACTCATAGTGGCTCTGTATAGGGTCTCAGAGACTGTAAATCTTTACAGAAGCAGAAAGCTTCATCTTTCTCCCTCAGAGCTGCTGCAGTTACCAGCCTAACTTGTAATCCATTAAACCACCAAAACTCCTTGGAATCCTCGTGGTTGTTAAGTGCTGTCGAGTGGTTTCCAACCCATAGCGACCCTGTATAGGTTTTCCAAGGAGCAGCTGGTGAGCTTGTAGCACCAACTTTTTGGTTCAAACGACTTTGGAGTCCAGTGCATTAACCCACAGAACCACACCAGGACTCCAGTAGCAACACACAATTAAAATAATAATAATAAAGAATCTGGGTTTAAAACTCTTGAGAACCTTTTCAGTGAAAGCATTTTCTAACTACATTTTATGGGTTGACAAAGTTAATACCAAACCATTTACATACTCTGATTATTATCTGAATAAATATTACTATTTTCTTACCTTTTGCATATATAAAAAGCACCCAACAAAATTGGAAAACTTCAGACACAGTACAAGGTTGTCTCCTTAGGGAGAGGAAAAAAGTTATGAGACAACAGAAAAATTAGAAAAATACATCCTAAATGATTATAAATTAATGAGAAACAAAATCCACAATTAGTGGGAGATACACTAGATTTAGCTTCACATTTAAATGTACAGTAAGATCTGACCCAGCCAAATCTTTAGGAAATAGCTGAGAATCAAAAAAACCTCATTTTAGAAAGAAGAAAATCTAGAGAATTTTAAATGCTTTTCAAAGTAAAAATCAGGTGAAACAACTGAGTACCAAGAGTTGTGCTGACGACATCTGCAAGGTTAATGTCACTCTGAGTTCCAAGTGTGCTACCGTTCTTATCTCACTCCCAGCTGATACACTGTAACTCTCCCTCCCAAAGATGTCACAGACCATCTCAAGACACAAATAACCGTTTTTACACAAACTCTAGTTACTAAAAAAGCCCACTATATTTTGCTGAGTTGTCTGCTAATGGGCATTTCAGACCTAATTTAAGATTGACTTTTCTATGAAAACACCTGGACCTCACCTCACCAGATGGAATACACAGGAATCAAACTGACTAAATGTGAGGGAAGAAGCAATGAAGAAGCTCAGTGTCATCGGCCAAAACAAAGCCAGGGAGAGACTGTGGAACAAACCATCAATTGCTCACATACAAAATCAAGTGAAGCTGAAGTAGAGTAAAATAAGTCCATGAGAGTCAAAATATCTCTCTTAATATATCCCACCTGAATTTAGAGAGCATCTCAAGAACAGATTTGATGTATTAGACATTAATGACCAGAGACGAGATGAGTTGTGGACGTTATCAAGAACATTTTACAGGAATAAAGCCAAAAGGTCATTTAAAAGACAAGAAAGAAAGAAAAGACCAAAATAGATGTCAGAAGAGACACTGAAACTTGCTCTTGAGTGTAAAGAAGCTAAAGCATATGAAAGACATGAGGAAGTAAAAAAGCTGAACATAAAATCTGAAAGGGTAGTTAGAGAACAAACAAGATGGTGGATTGGGTAGAAGTGCAGTAAAGGAGCTCCAACAACAACAACACAGAATACCCGACCAAGCAGGCTCAGGGGCTGGTCCCAGAACTCTGAACCACATATAAAGGAATACTTAGAAGGTTGGAAGGCTCACAGCTGGGGGAATTTGTGGCAGAAGCAAGAAATCTATTGCTTT